TAAGTTTGATTTTTAACAACTTGTTGGCTTTCATCTGCTTATCAATAAAATGTGAGTGCAACCCAGAGAACTGAATAGTGCTGACAGTTTAGAGGGAAAAAAGCCTCTTTTACTCACATATGGCCTTTGTGCCTTTGCAAACCATCAGATATTGCCTATTTTTTTGCTGGGAGGGAATTGCAGAAAGTCATTGCTTTAGATCATTAAGTACTTTAGTTTTTTAGGGCAAGACCTACCATGAATTAATATATTATTCTCCTCTCTGAGTCTGCCTGAGTCGTGGGTTCTTTTTTGGGGCTAAATTGACAATCCTTGATTTCTTACCCAATTTCAAAGGCATATTGTTAGCATTGAGGCTGTGAGTCCCAGAGAGTTATTAAATGATTTATGAGAGCGCGGGAGCTCGGCAGTCTGTCCAGGAGAGGCAGGATCCTGGCTGGGGGCCGGGCAACGGCTCGAGTTCTCAGCAGGTGGCTGATTTTCTCCAGGAAAAAATATTCTGAGCTTTGAAGGGTAAAACAACTGAAGACGAATGCGTTTAATTCGAAGGAAGAAATAATTGTGTTTATTCCAAAAAAAGGTTGGTTGGTATGTTTGGTTTTTATCTTTTAGCAAGAGTAATGGTGGTAAATGTTCCCAAAGACACGTGAACCCCCCAGTGCCCCACCAGTACAGACTTGAGAACCACCGTGGGGTTTGTTTTCCTTCAATTTAACCTTATGGAATATCTGAAAACTTTGGCATACGAAACTCTTGCTTTAAATAATTCATGTGTTCTTTATAGAAGATAAACAAAAATGTTCATCTAGCTTCAGCTTATTCTAAACTGGACTTAAAGACTGGTGGAAAAACCATGGCCAAAGAACTCATTGCTTACCTCTATCAAAAAGCAAGAGTGGCATAGACAAGGACTTGGCTCTGCTGAATGTTCATATTACAATTTTAAGGATTATCAGCAGTAGATTGAACTGGAATTGATGATCGATCACAAAATTCAGCATGCATACTTTGGAGCTAGCTATTGGAAAAAAAATCTGTGATAGGCACTGGTTTTAATTTAAAACTATGGAGATATTAAATATATGCAGAATTCATGAATAAAATGTGAATTATTTTTCTGGTACAGTGACGTGCTTAGAAGACTGTAGCTGAAGGAATTAGTCATAAAGTTTTACCTCGTGGAGACTGAGGGATGCACTGAAAAAGAAGGCAGATAACTTCAAGCCAGAATCCATGCAAAATAATATAAAAGTATTAACAAAGCAGTGGGACAGTTAATTCTGAAGGTGGAGCCCAATCTTGAGCATTGCTGTAGTCAAATTCCCAAGTATCGTTTTTCAAAATGAATATGCAAAGTGCTTCCTCTATTGATTTTAAGGCAGCTGAGATAATATGATTGTTTTAATTTATTTTTTTTTTTTTTCACCATTATAGTCTTGGATAAAACTTATAACAATTTTGAAACCTTCATTATCCTGACGGCCGCTCCAAGGTATTCTTGCCACTAGAGAACCCGATGCTATTCTGGGATGAATGACAATGATTCTCCAGGCAATGAAAACTGAAAATAAAACAATAATAAAAGCAATGTAGAACAAATTGGGGTCAATGAGACTTGATAAGGACTCTCGCACGGGGTTTGTCACAGAAATGCAGTAGATGGGGCCAGAAGCATCGGCTCAGACCGAAGGGTCGCCTCTCTTCCATGTAATGATGTGAAGCTCCATCACTGTTTATGCCAGACCTGATGATGGCTGAATTTAGGCAGCATCAAGACAATGTGATGCTATTCTGGTCTGAGAGAGTCTCTCCTCCGTTTCCCAGCTGTGGGGACCTGGTAGCACCCAGGGCTGGATGACGGTGGCAGAGAGAACCAGGGCTGCCAAGTTCTTTCTGGTCACTTTGAGGGACAAGGTGACAGAGATCGAGCAGTGCCAACATCTTTGGTCAATCTCAACCAGGAGTTCAGGGGCTACAGAGCTCCTGCCAGTGTCATGGCTTTTTTTTCTACACGTATGTTGTACATATGTACCGGGTTATTGCAGGTATGGCATTTCCATAAGTGCACTTGGAAGTTGTTTTTCTAGGTGTCTTTGTGATTTCACTTTCTTTTCCTAGTTCTGTAATGGCATAAAAATAGTCATGAGTCACTCCATGAAATAGATGAATGGGCCAAGTTAAAAAAAAAAAAAAAACAACCATAATTTCTTGTAATAGCAACGATGGAATTTGGAGTCAGAGATTCTTTTTTACCATTGTAGTCCTAATTAAAAAAAAAAATGGTTTCTCAATATCATAGCATAATTTTACTCTTGCATGTAAAACATGTGTATCTTTAACTACTGACAGGCTGGGGGGGGGGGGATTATTGAAAAATCTGTTAGACTTTAGAAAAATGTAATTTTCTTGCTGAGAAGCTGGCGTGTACCAGATTTGCAGAATTTACTTTGTATAGAAAGCATTTTGCTCAAAGTCTGTCTCTGTGTGTGTTTGAAAACTGCTCGTTTAGAGCAAGCAAATGAATTTTAAAGTCTCCCTTTCTCAGACCTTCCTGACAAAACCAATTTTTCTCCTGAGGATAATTGAATTCAAAGCAAGTTGTATTTGGTGACTAGTATAATTTTGAAACCCCATGCTTTGCTGTACATTGGCAGCCAAATAACATACATTTTATTTTTATTATTAAAGCTAATGAATAAGCAAGTGATAATTCTGGCTACTGATTTTTTAATGTCATGCTTGGATGCAAACGTCATTCATGGAAGAAAATGTTATTGCAAATACATTTGTGAAACGCAAGAGGGAATGACCATTTTGGAATTGAGTCCTGAGCAGTTATAAAATTAAACATTTTAAATTCAGGAATCTTATCTTGCAGCTGTGTTGGTTTTGGGGTAGGTTTTTTTCATGACCTAAAGTTGAGACATCTCTCTGCCCATGTCCCTTTGGCAACCCCAGCTAGTACATGCCAGGGACATCGAGCTCTTTACATCCATGGTGAGAGTCATGGTAGGGTCACCTTCTCTGAACCCTCCAAGATCTCAGAGCTGGGGAGAAGAAAAGCAGGGGCTGGGTGTCCTGCTCTGTGTCCATGCCCTCATCTTTGGGCATGAATGTTCTTCTCATCCTGCCGAAGTGCATGATGAGGAGTGCCCTACTGCTTCTTGCACTGTGGAAAAGGGATTTGGAAAAATGGTTAATTTTGTTCACAGCTTTAAAGTAAAAGCTGTATTTTGGAAAGAAAAAATACTCTGAAGTATTTTGAAACTTTCTAGAGACTTTTTTTTTTTTTTAAACCAGCTAAGTTGGAAAAATAAATGGTCCAGTGACTACTTGCTAATTCATCTGCATATGCAGCTGCAAAATTATTTTCTGTGCACATAGTGCAAAACTTCTTCCTAAATATGAGGTTTAGAGACCCTTTGGGAGTAATTAACTATAATGCAGAAGCAAATCTGGGTTCATTGTACACACTGCTCATTTAAGACATGTTTTTGTGCACAAAGCCCATTAGTAAGTTTCCAAAACCTCCATGAATGTTAAACATTTTATTATGGGACTCTGAGTGCTTCTTAGTTTGCATAAAATTTAATGTAATCCCATGCATTACATCTATCTTTTGAGCCCTGGGTAGCAAATTGCTGTGTCACGTGTGGGCCACAGTGTATTCAAGGGCTAAAATCTGGCTTTTATTTAGTTATGTATTTAACAGTGATACGGCAGCTCTTTTCCCGTGGACTACACAAAAAGGTGGGGATCTGCTCAACATAAATTCCATGCTGTTCATCTCAATCTACTCACCGGTCAACTTCCATACAGTGTGTGGGGTTTGTTGTTGTTGTTGTTCTGCTGACTGCTTTCCTTTTGTGCTTTAGTCCTGTGCTACACGTGGATGGTGGGATCCTGACCATGGTATAGGGGAAACACCAAGCAAAGCTGCTGTTTCCATCAGTTGTACAGCACTGGCACTCAAACAATCCAGCTCTGAGGATGTAACTTAGCCAGGACTGGGAATACATGGCCTCAGTGGGTGTAGGCAAGAGCCTGAAGTTAAGAGTATGTTTAATTTGCTGAATTGGGTCAATGCCTGAAGCTAATGGGCTCCTCCAGAGGCAACAGCGTGATGCTCTCTGGTCTGTTTTCCATGGGCAGGAGGGGACGTCCTCCGACTCGCCCTCCCTGTCAACTAATTTGTGAAGAAGCATAAATCACCTGAGATACTCTGAGGAAATCCATCCCACCGGCTGTGCGTGGTGAGGGTGGTGATACTGGGATGTGCTGGGCAGTGGGCTGGTAGGGCTGGGCTTGCTGGCCCCGCTGCGTGCTGGTGATCAGATGCAGATGAAGAGCAGAAATAACTACTCAGCTTTTATGAAAGGTTGTTATTTCTCTTCCTTTAACTCTTTGTTACCTGTTTGGAAAGATTGGCAGCATAGATATCGTAAATGTTACCTGACATATATTGTGTCTTATCCACCATTTATTTCCCAACAAAAACCAAACTATAGTCTTTGTTATTATAGGAGAGTTAATCGTTAACATCTGACAGCTTTTCTAACACCTGTGCTTTATCTCAGAATATGCAAAATATATCCGAATGCTTCCATTTAAGGGGGTGGTTCACATTGTGCTTTGGTGGCGCTGTCTGGATTGGTTGGGATTTCGTGCAATTACTATTTTACACAGCGGCAGAGTATCTGTGAAGTGGCTATCAATTGGAACATATTTTGCTCTTCAGACTTGCTTTTGCAGGTTTCACAAAACATTTAATTAGTGATAATCAGCTTCTAACCAGCCCGAGCACACTGATGTGATTCTCTCCCTCTCTTCCCCCATAATTGTAGGCATCGTCTGTACCCATAAGATAAATTACTTGCAGTCTGGAGAACATCCTAGCCAGCAGGAAGGGAGAGAATAAGAATGTGATTTGCATGGGGATAAAGGAGGTGTTGTATGAACTGTGATTTCAGTGAAAAATATACTTTTTCTCTCCCTTTCAGAATGGTGGACCTGGAAACCAGCTGGAGATTGCGAAGTCTCCTTTCCCTCGAGGTTGCTGGTCAGCGGTCATCTCCCACCACACCCAAGGGAACTAGAAGAGCTCCATGCTGACTTCTGAAAGGTTTGTTTCACTATGGGAGATCAAATTATTTTCTGGCTCAGGTTTTGTGAAGTTCGGCATCTGCCTTGGACCTGCAGTTTGGAAAAGGGATCATCTCTGAGGCACGGTTAAGAGACGGAAAAACCAGTCCCAGACGATGAGCACTTTAAGTAGCACTGGAATATTACTCAGCTTAACGACAGTGTCTGTTACGCTGGATTTTAGTTTGCATGGTGGTCTGATGGCTTGGTCCTTAAGCAGCAATTTGACTCTGAATCAGAGTTTGCCTACATCTGATCCTCTGAATGCCTCTGAGAAGGGTGAAGTCTCTCGGATGTCCGTGAGGGAGAAGAACTGGCCGGCCCTCCTGATCTTGGTTGTCATCCTGCTGACTATCGGGGGAAACATATTGGTAATTATGGCTGTGTCCTTGGAGAAGAAGTTGCAGAATGCCACAAACTTCTTCCTGATGTCCTTGGCGGTGGCAGACATGCTGGTGGGTATCCTGGTCATGCCCGTGTCCCTCATTGCAGTCCTGTACGGTAAGTGGCTTCCCTCCTTGTTTGACTATCTGCTTTTGCAGGGAATCCCCTGAGGCTCTCACAAAATGCTTTGCCCGAATTTTTTCATGCGTTGGTAGCTTGGGGAGTATCAGTGTGGACTCCGGCCATGGGTGTGTGCTGAGGTTCATGGCTTCCCTCCTTGTTTGACTATCTGCTTTTGCAGGGAATCCCCTGAGGCTCTCACAAAATGCTTTGCCTGATTTTTTTCATGCGTTGGTAGCTTGGGGGGAGTATCAGTGTGGACTCGGCCAAGGGTGTGTGCTGAGGTTCACGCTCTTCTGGGTGAGGGCGATGTTTCTGTGCTGCTGGGAATGGTGTTGATATCTGGGGTTTTTTTATTACTGAGGCCATTGAGAGAAGCTGCAGCAGTGAGTCAGCTTTTTACCTTTTGGTTGGACTGCCCCAAAATTTGCTAGGACACCGAGGGGTTAGGGAAAAGCTGAGGAGTGTCCTTGGGACTGACCCAGCTCTGAACCAGGTCAGAATTTTCCCTTGAGCTCCCACTGGTATCAGTGGGGTTTGAGCAATAATGTGGGGAAGAGAGCGGGTTTGCGCTGGTAGATTTGGCATTCAAATAAAAGCCTTCACTCCATACCTGAGCTTGCCTTGTGCCTTTCAGGGGGGTCATTGTGCCTGTCACTGTGCCTCAGTTTCCCTGTCTCTAACCTGAGAACTCTGGTTCAAAACACTTTGAGATCTGCATTTGTTGCCCCCCAGCTGTCCCAGGGCAGGTGTGTTTGTGCTGATGGGCCCTGTGCTCCAGGGTAGAATCACTGTTAGTGCCTCAAAGGAGTAAACTGTCCAACACATCCAACTTTCTCATCTGTCTGGGACTTTGAACCTGATTAATTTTTTTTTTTAATTTTTTTTTTTGGTGTGGTGCTGAGAATCTCCATCCCTGGATATTATAAAGGGGTATTGTGTTGGCCTCTGTATCTCTGATCATCGTGTTTGTATCCTCATGTATCAATATAATGTGTGTGAGTTTAATAGATGACGCTTAATCATTTTTGAAGCCTGTTTTCAGATTTTCTTTGAAAAGTATCGTTAATATTGATATTTCTTGGAAACAAATAATGCTGTTTACGTGCAGATTTGATTAGAAATTGGTTTACTGTCCTATAAAGTAAAATGTAGGGATATTTATGTGACTTCTTCCCTTGCCTAAATGATTAAGTCAGAGATTCATTTCTCAAACACATTGATCAAGCATACATAATTCCAAAGCTTATATAACTTGTCTACAGTGAGTTAAATCAATATGTGATTTAGGTACATTGAGATCTTATGAATAAAGCTTTTTATTTTGAGCTGTCAGAATAGTTCCATCTCTAAATCTTCTACGTATTAGAACATGTGTATTTTATTTTTAGCATTTTACTCCAGTTCCCTGGAGCTTGAAAGGGAGCATATAAATACTGAATGATTTGATTGACCTGCACTTGCATAAATTCTGGGTTACCCAGTGACTCTAAAAAGGTGAATTTATGGAAGTGATCTTCCTACATCCATACTTTCTGAGGTTTTGGAAACTAATGGAAATGGATTTTCTGTTCTGCCTAGAAAATGATTACTTAAGGTCGTTTAAAGGTGTAAACTACGCTGCATACTTAAAGGCAAGTAAATATCATTGATCTGAAGAGGAATTGTAATCTTTTCTACCAGAGCACCAGTATTAGCTGTTGATGGCCCAAACGCTCCTCCACAGGCAAACGCCACTAAACTTTTTTTTTACTTTTTTTGGCAAAAACAGTAATTTCAGCACAGGCATGGAAAATTTGTGGGAATCCTGTGAGAAGTGAGAGTAGCTGGTGTTATCTGAAGGGTGGGAGGATGCTGCTGGAACAGTAATTTCAGCACAGGCATGGAAAATTTGTGGGAATCCTGCGAGAAGTGAGACTAGCTGGTGTTATTTGAAGGGTGGGAGGATGCTGCCGTGCTGGCATCGCTGCCCTGGGCCCGGCCGGGAGCCCCGGCTGGTGTGTTGCCTTCAGGCTTTGCAAGGGGGAGAGGAAAAGCTCTGTATGGGGAAAACGGAGCTTCAGGGGAACTTGATTTGAATAGGACCCCTGTAAAATCACTTTTCTGTGTTATTTAAGCTACTAATTGTGGAAGTAAGCAGCCAGGGCAGTGCCGCTCCAGCAGCAAGGGCATAAGGCTGCCAGAGGGAGAAAGTCTGTCCCCTCTCCCAAGTGATTATTTTCTAATGCATCCTGAAAATAAACTCTTGGTTTGACACCCAGAAGCTATAAAAGGCATGGACTGACTGGGTATGTCTGGGAGAGGACCAAAGGAAAAAGACTGATGTTGTGTCAAGGGTATTGCTGCTCTTTAAACCCACCATAACACACGGATGCACTTTTATGTCCATCTAGAAAAATAATTTAGGATGGAAGAATTACAGGACATGTCAACAACCTCAGCATTTGGTGGTTCATACAAATAAAATGTGCATGCAGGAGCACAGAGGGTAAGCAAGTTAAACCTGTCGCTCGTCGCTACTTACAGCTTGGATCAAATACAGCTGGGTCTTCCTCAGCTTCCCGTGTGCTGGAGTCACCAGGCTTTTTGGAGTCCCACACCCATTTCTAGCTTTGGCAGGGCGGGCAGGGGGGTATCTCCTGTACTGTACTCCACTTGGTGGGCCAGTTCTTACAGACACACGGGACAGCAGCTGGAAAGGCTCTTGGCAGAGTGGCACCATCACCAAATGCTGTTGTTATAACCAGCAGCCTCCAGAGACCATCACTTATTCCCGAGTCTAGCTTCTCTGGTGTCATAAGCAGCAGCTCTGCACCACTGCACACACTAGTTTTGAGGACAAAATCTGGCCTCTTGTGTAACACAGGGGTTTCCTGGCTTAGTATGTTTGGAGGTTTAATTTGTGGAAAACCAGTTTTCCTTACAGCAGCCTGCAAGCGCTCTGGATGCCACAGTGGCCAGTGGGACAGTGGACTTTATCTTGATTTCTAAGAGCTAGAGGTCAGGAGTCCAAACATATGAATGCTCTAGTAGGTTTTATATTCTGTTGGGAGTGGTAGCGCAGAAACCAGTATCAGTGGTTTGCACATCAGCAGAATTCCTCTGAGTGTAGCAGGGTTCCTGGCCATGGACCCATCAGGGAGAGCGTTACTGCTGGGAGGTGTGACACTGAATGTTCAGTCATATTCACTCTGTGTATCTTACCCTGTACGTTTGATGTAGTCCATACATTACAACACTGGGCTGTTTTAAAAGCTGCCGTATGCTGTATGGACAAACGTATGCATCTCTTCCAGATTTGTAGAAGTCACTCTTAATTTACATAATCAGAAAGGAACATTAAAGAATACATATAATAAATAGAAGAGTGATGAAGTGGCTTTTAAGTTCTCACATCAGCTCTCTCAGCCCCAGTGATAAATTCTAGTTTGCAGAGTAGGTTTGTTTCCTTATTTTTTGGCTAATGAGGTAGAGGAAGTAGATTTCACTTCAAGCATAACCACAAAATTGAATAGACACCCTCCACAAAGGCTTCTGGTTTTCAGTGGTTTTCTTAATTAAATGAAGGAAAAATCAACTTGTCAGTAAATTCAAGAATCTTATTACAAAGGAAGGGATGGCAGGATGCATCATGCTGGATTTTTCACCAATTAGTCAGCGCTCTGATATACTTATCAATTAGTTTTTCTTAAATGTCTTGGACTAGTTGATGAGTTGCATTTGACAACTTAGAATGTTTTCCATGGCATGCAGTTCCTAAAGAACTAAACAAATTAGTATGCTAATTTATAAGCATGTGTTGGGGGGAGTAAATCAGAAATTAACACCATGTTTCACTCAACAGTGAAACTTCTGATTAATAAAAAATGCAGCTATGATAGGGTATCAGCTATTCTGCATATAATGGAGCTTCTGAGAACAAATGGAGATTGTCTTCTCAGCTTGGAGCATTTTAGGGACAGGCAGTGGTGGGTTTGCATCATCTCTGGTGTTTGTGGGCAGGAAAGAGAGGGCTGCTCTTTGCCTGGGAGGACTGGAGAAGGAATGGGAGGGAATCTCATCAGCTGATCTGAGTGGAAGTTATAGATGGTATTGAACTTTCCTCGTTCTAATGAAAGGAGTTCACAGCTGTGAGCAAGTAGCCCGAGTGTGGCCAGCAAGGGGCCACCACGCTCACCTGCCACTCCAGGTGCCAGGGCTTCTCTCTTCTCTTTGAGTTCCAAAAACCACGGAGTGCTGGTGGCCTGATGCAGCTTCCAGAAGGCTGGTATGAGATTCAGCATCCATTACCCCCAACTGCTGGAGCAGCTTTACATCCAGATTATTGTTATTATTGATAATTATCATCATTATCATGTGCTGAATAGACACCCTCCACAAAGGCTTCTGGTTTTCAGTGGTTTTCTTAATTAAATGAAGGAAAAATCAACTTGTCAGTAAATTCAAGAATCTTATTACAAAGGAAGGGATGGCAGGATGCATCATGCTGGATTTTTCACCAATTAGTCAGCGCTCTGATATACTTATCAATTAGTTTTTCTTAAATGTCTTGGACTAGTTGATGAGTTGCATTTGACAACTTAGAATGTTTTCCATGGCATGCAGTTCCTAAAGAACTAAACAAATTAGTATGCTAATTTATAAGCATGTGTTGGGGGGAGTAAATCAGAAATTAACACCATGTTTCACTCAACAGTGAAACTTCTGATTAATAAAAAATGCAGCTATGATAGGGTATCGGGGAGTAAATCAGAAATTAACACCATGTTTAAACTCAACAGCGAAACTTCTGATTAATAAAAAAATGCGGCTATGATAGGGTATTAGCTATTCTGCATATAATGGAGCTTCTGAGAACACATGGAGATTGTCTCCTCAGCTCGGAGCATTTTAGGGACAGGCAGTGGTGGGTTTGCATCGTCTCTGGTGTTCGTGGGCAAGAAGGAGAGGGCTGCTCTTTGCCTGGGAGGACTGGAGAAGGAATGGGAGGGAATCTC